GATTATACTTGATGATAAAATCCTCAAATTTATTTGATTATTGTTGATGGTATGAATGCTTAGCATGGTTTTGGAGTTGGTAAATCATATCTTACTGTGTATAATTCTGATTTAATCTATATGTAATATCTTCCCAAGTTCTAATTCACTGTGCTCTTTGGCATTCAAGATCTTTAATGACTTCCAACCAAAAATTTTTTAGAACTTCAATCAATTTGGCATTTGCATACTTGATACTCTAATGGTCATTAATACAACCTCATTCAAAAAGATCCTCATATTTCAAAACCAATGATGCAAGATACAATATGATGGGGACATTAAGGCATGGAAGGTTTATCATAAAAGGGATCATAGATCGACGGCCACGATTGAGTTGTTATATTATTAGTTGTTATGTGTGTTGTATGTGATTTAATTTAGTTTGTGAACTTTCTTTTTTTCCTCACTTGAGGGAAATGTTATGTTGTAAGCCCAAAGGCATTTGCATCTTTTGTCTGTTATGTGGTGAAGCCTATACAGCTCTCTCCCCTGTACGGGATGGCGATTATTTTGAATGAATTCTGATTTCAGCCTTCTTCTCTCGTGTGAGAGTAAGTGTAGTGGAGTGAAGCCTTAGGAAAAGGAAAATGAAGTGCCCAACAGCCCATTAAGGTGAGCTCTTGGCTTTCCCCTTGTATCTCTTCCCCTTTCCCTCCTACTTCTTCCTCCATAGCCCCCGGTCAACACCCCCTCTTCATTCCCTCTCTCGGCCAGCCACCCCTTCCCCTTCCACCACCACCAACTCCCCATCCAAGTCCCCAATCCAAAATTTCCAAATCTGAAATTTTGACCTTTGGGATTCCAATTGGACCCCACATGTCTCTTGGAACTTTGAATTCATAAGTTACTCCACTCCTTTTTATTTTCAAAATTACTTGGGAATTGGAAAAGCCACAACCCCTTCCTTTTCCCCATGGTTGGGCCACTCTTGGAACTCTCCATGTTAATTAATGGGAAGTTGACCCATTAATTGCAAAGTTCATTTTAACTTTTCCCCTTTCCAAAACTACTTTTCCATTTTCTAGCCCCACCACTCTAATTAACCTCACACCATTCCTAATCTCCCCCAAATAGCAAAATTTGTGGCCTCCCTCATTCTTCCAAATTTTGGTCAGCATCTCGTCTTCTCCACTGTGAACCAAGACACAAGGAAGGCACTACGGAGCAACCCTTTGAAGATCAACTGGACGAGACCACACCACATCTGAAGGAAGCTTCTCTGCGACGCAAATAGCTAGGTCTTTCTACTCTTACTTCTATAGACATATTTGAAGTCCAATTCTCTATGGCATCACTATTTTCATGATAATTTAAATCCGCTAGCTTCTTAAATCATTGAGAGTATGGTTCTTGTGGTGACTAATCTATGTTAAAAGTTAGATTTTTTTTGCCAACCCATGTTAGCTAAGTTATTGATTTGATTTATCCTTCTTGAATTCTAGAACTATGGTTGTGGTTAATTGTTATTTGTGGATTGTCTTTCTTACTTATTTTGAAGCTTGTTTTATGCATCCCCGTGGTTAATAGCTTGCTGATTTTAAATTCAACTTGTGTTTAATTTCATAATGCAAGTCTTCACATGCTAGTACTACATCACAATATCCTTGAAAGTTGCATTTGCATCAATTTAAAAGAGCAAAAAATGTACAAGAGGGTACAAGCATATATAGAGACATCTATGTGAGTCAACCCTCAACAAAATTTAAAAAAAAAGGAGAGGAAAGAGCAATAAAAGAATTAATTCTTTCGATATCAAAAAACATATTGAAGTGATAGAAACTAGCACAAAAAGTGGCTCCTCAATTGTCAAGACGCACTATCCTAGCAATCTCACTTTCATCAAAAGATGAAAATCACAGCAATCTCGATCATGATATCTACAAGGTGGTGCTTCATATTCAAACTCATCACCAAAGCAATCAAGTCATCAATACTAACGACCACTAAATCCTATTGATTTAACCATATTCAGGATTTATAGTAAGTAAAATTTATCAAGTTGAGGCCATAAAGATGTTTTAAGATCATTATGATAGTATTGCCTAATGGGTGGATCATAAGATGAATGTTCAAATAATCTGGAGCTCTAGCTTTGTCATTTAGAATAGAAATATTAGCACGGGATGCAACCTCATTGAAATTGGTCTCATTTCATATAATTTTCCCATAATAAATAGGAAATTAACTTTTATAATCTTTTATCTGATATAATCAGTTAATATTCTAGCATTTCTACCCTTCAATTTAAGTCTACTCTATTTGACATAACTTGGCAAATAATCCAAAAAAGCGGCAAAGTTCATAATGCATTCTTATGCAATCAAGATGCAATAACAGGCAATAATGGTATGTGCCAACGCAACAATTAATTTAATTCTACATGCAAATGAAATGTGAAAGTAATTGCAAATTTAGGATTTTCAATTATTTGCAGAAACATATTTAATTTAAGTTTGGTGCATAAGATTTGAGAATAAATAGAAAGAAATCAGCTTCTAGTTCCTAAAGCAATTGGCACGTTAAGGATAATGATAAACAGCAAATAAGCAATCAAATTTCAACATTTTAATCTAATTTCTAAAGTGGGAGGTAAAACTTTCAGTTTTTAATGCACTCTCAACTCTATTAGAGTGGAGCACCTCCTCACAATGGCTTATGAGTTATGAGATAGGCAAGTGATGCAGTCAAGGCTAGCTATTCTATGTTTTTTTCACTTATGTTTTTTGCTCTCTTTCTCATGTGGTTTTTCATTTTCTCCTGTTGGCCCTCGGTCCCCTATTGGCCCTTCGGTTTCTTCAGCTGACAATTTGTTTTCCCTGTTGGCCGCTCGGTTTCCCTACTGCCCTTCGGTTTCTCCAACTGTTGGCTGCTCGTTTTAGGCTCCTAGCTAATTCCTATAACGGTGTTTTGACTTCTCATTATGTTGGCTATTTGGTTGAGTTCTATTGACTGCTAGGGTAGCTCATTTAGGAGAGCATTTGATGTCTTTTCCCCCTTCCTCTACTATATAATGCGGTTGATTTCCTTGTGAAAAAAAAAAAGATATTTGTGATGAATTTTTGGAATGTGAAACTTGTGGGTTTTTAGCTTGCGAGCTATTATCTTCTACCTTCCCTCTACTAATTCATCTTGAACTTCTATCTTCTTTTTATCTCTATGACTTTCAATCCACATTTATCCTTTTTCTCGAAACTATTGGAAGTTGTAAGTGATGTTGTTATGTGTTGTTTAATGTGAGTTTGAAGTGGTGTGTTATGTTCTATCGGTGTTTGTTGTTTTTATATTGAAAGGAAGTTTGTGATTTGTAGTCCTAGAACCAAGGTTGTTTTTAGGTTGCATCATTTTGATATCAGAGCTTTAGGTTGCATCTTTTGGAATCAAACCTTTAGGTTGTCGGGTGAAGCTTTATTTTTTTTTATTCTCTGGGTTTTTCTTTCTATTTTGGTACAAGTACCAATTCTTGTTATCAAGAATTACATCTTTCCAAAACTTCATCATCTGTGAACACTAAACATGAAGAATGTTGATTTGGCCTAATACAAAGTAATTAGGACTTGCAATTTGCTGACATCCAAAAATCATTCCAACAAGTTGATGTTCAATTTGCTTCCATTGGCTCATCCCTTCAACAAATCTATTCTTTTATGAATTTCACTGACAAGAAACTTGATAGTTTATGTAATGACCATCCACATCATCCACTCCATCAAGATACTTTCTCTTCCGTCATCATCCTTGGTTCCGCTGGCCAAATCCCTTCTCCACGAAGGTCACCTTCTCCGACAAGTTTCTCTTTTCTCACAGATCATCTATCATTATTCAATTTTACTTTACTCAAACAATCTCTACATTTATTTCAACCACCACAAGATTTACCTCAACCTCATACCATTTCTCAATATATTCATCTTCAATCCTTATCTCAACTATTTAACATTCGTCCTTATCATTCTCCACATTTTCAAAATAATGCCAATGGTACTTGGCGTGTTTGCATTAACTCTAAAGCCCTTAATATACTCACCATTAAAGATAAATTTACTATTCCAATAGTACATACATTTTTAGATGAATTAAATAGAGCTTTTTTTCTTAACTTCATTTTCATTATGCCTCTCAACGAGTTAGGACATATTCTAAAAATATTCATCAAACTTCATGATGGTCACTATGAATTTCTCCTTATGTTTTTTCCCCCGTCTACCTTTTTACAACTTCGCAGTCAAATTTTCTTGCAATGAAAATTAATTTTTTGGATGATGCTACAAGGAAAAATTTTGCAACCCTTTCTTCATCTTTACCTTCTCTCAACCTTGAGGACAAGATTTTTTCCATGACGATGGGAATGTTATACATCTACAATATATCTTTAGCTAAATAAAGACAAACTAAATAGTATATACATATGTAATAAGCACTAGTTTATTTTTTGTATTCTATTTTAAATTCTTGTTAAGTAGACCAATTATATATTGCAAATTTGGTCTCTATTGTAAACTTGGCCTACCCAAGCATTATAAATACACCTCTTATTGTAAGAAAAGGTTATGGAATGAATGATTTCTAGTTTCTACCTCTCTAGTCTCTCTTCTTACCCTTGTTCTTCCTTAAGGAATCCACACCTACTCAAAAGGTGTCTCCCCCTTCTTGATGTAGATCAAGAAAGCATAATAGATACTCAAGATATAATCCTATTTATAGCTTTAAAAGTAAGCAAAATTTACAAAACCGTGAAAATAAAAACTTATTTTGTCCCTAATATTTTCCTAAAACCATTAATGATTTGGAAACAATAATCCATGATTTTTCAATAAACAATATCTTCCGAATAACTCTCCAAACCTTTCAAATCATTCTGCCACAATTATTTATCTTACCATATATTTAGAAGCCATTCAATTGATTGCCAACAAATCCCTAAAATTTGCCAGAGAAGAAAAAAAAAGGCGTAATTCTACCTTCTTATCCTTTATCTCACTGGACTGTATCCAGGTCTTGATCTGATCTCGGTATCGCTGGAGCTTTTTTATCTCCTTCTTCAAATCCGCCTCAAATTTCTCCTTCTGGTTCGCATTCTCAGTGTCGTACACCTTCACATTCCCACAAACATACACACACAAAAAAAAAATATCAGAATGCTCCAAGAATGCATAAGATGGATGCAAAATCAAATCAGAGTCACGAAACGCGGCGAAACTATAAAACAGAGTTTGTGACAGACCTTGTTCCAGATGCTGTCAAAGACATCGACACCCTCCTGGACCTTCTTCAGGACCCGATCGATCTCACCCTGAAGCTTTCGGCTCGCTCCCATGGCGTAAAACGGATGAAGAAGATCCGATACCGCACTCGAGCATATACAGATACTGGGTTTAGGGTTTCGACCTCGGCCGGAATGCAAATGAGAGAGGAGAAGTGGTCTACTCTAATCCGCTTGATCTCGGACAAGTACAAATTAGTCTTCGGAACTAGTTGGATAATTGTTTTGAATTATTTATAAGGTAAATTTGTTTCATGTTATAATAAATATATTTTTTATATTTATATTTTAATGTCTCAGCATATTTTTATATGTTTTAATGTTGATATTGATCAAGCACGAATTTTGATGCAATTTTTAATTAGAAATTTTTATAACCAAAATCATGACCGTCCAAATTTTAATTTCATCAAACTTATTATAGAATCGCACACCTCAATGGGACAAAATTATTAACATCAAAAGTGAGCTAATCTAAGTCCAGTAACCCAAATCAAGCACACGAACCACAATTAAAATTTTTTGTATATTGATTAGGTGATTAAATATTCTCTAAATCTTGCATGCTTATAACTAAATTGAGATACCCCACAAGACAAATCCAACAAGCCCAATATTATTTAGTTTGGATATCATTAAGGCACGTAAATATTGAAAGAATGAAATACGATCAAGAAAATTAATATGGACCATATGATGAAGTGATTCAAATATTTTTGTATTTTTTTAGATATAACTGTAATGACCAAAAATTCTTAACATGAATTTATTTGAAACATCTGAAACTTCTGAATTGGAGTGTTGCAGCATTGTGCTATTTGGCATAGTGGCGCTAGGGGAGCAGCATTGGAGTGCTAGAATTCAACGCGATGGCGTTGAGCTCTCTATTTTATAGTAACTCTAGAATAAACATGCAACGCTAGGTGTCGAGTCTAGAGCGTCGCAATGTTGGGCACTTAAAAAACTTTTTTTTAATTGATTTATTTAGTATTAAATATCCCTCACTATCATATTCCCCCACCCTCATAATCATTGACTTGCCAGTTAAGAAAAGGAAAGAAAGAAGAACGAAATATAAGTGAGAGAAAAGTTATTCGGGCCTTTTTTTGTGGCTATGCTCTGAGACTTCTTTTGATGTAGTAGGTAACTCGAATCATACATTTATTTTCAATGATTTTATATTTGGTGAATTTAATCTCTCCCAAATTGATAAAAATATATTTTTTCTCTTAATTTACTAAACTTTCACAACGTAACTTTCTTATATATAATAAATATAATTCTTATGAGAATTTTGATTGTAATATTATTGAATTTCACCTAATAAATTGATAGTTGTAATAAGGATACTGATAGATATTTACAAACATATTTATATAGCATATTAATATGATCTATTGATATTACATACTGCTGTTGCGAATCTAGATTCAGAGATTATAATTTTGATGATAGCAAATATTTCTAACACTTCTATTTTCCTACGATTATCCTGCCTACTAACGTTTCAGGTCAATAAGGTCAATTGCAAATCAAGCCAGCTCAAGATTAGGTATATTAGGATTGAGTCAGTGTGTAAGCGTTAGTTAAGTGTTTTTTATCTTTTCTTAAGTCAAATGTAACAAAGTGGGTCCTGATGCTAAAGTAACCTTGCACACACACACACTCAAGGGAAAAATTTTGTCTATTTTTAGAGTTTTCTATTTTTGATCATATCATCCGGGATAATCCTAAATCATCCTGGACGTCAGTTAAAAATAGAAACCCTAATTAGAACATCCTGGTTAAGATAGCCAAAATTAAGCAAATCACCTTGGACAATATTATCATCATCCTAGACGATATTATCATCGTCCTGGACGATAGGCTCAAATCAGAAAGAATCAGCCGCCAACTCTTTTAGGCATGTTATTATTTTTGGACATTGTCTTGGACGATGCATAATAATTATGCCTAAATTAGTCAGACGATTAAGGAAAGCAATTAAGATTTGATTTATCGATCATATCGTCCTATATGATCACAGGATCGTCTGGGACGATCAGTTAAACAAATATTAGTTTCTTACTAGACGACCAGAATGATGTTCTGGACGATATGTATTGATTTGAACTAATCATTCGGGATGATCCCAAATTGTCCTAAATGATCATTTATTTTTTCTATCATCTGAACATGTAAAGTCTAGCCAAACAGAGCAATTGTCTGGACGACATTCAACATCTTGAACTCATCATACAGGATGATCGTGAAATCGTCCTAAATGATCAGTTATTTTTTCATCATTCGGACAGGTAAAGTCTGACCGAATAGAGAGATTGTCTCATCATCCTGGACGATCAGAACAAACAAACCTTCTAATTGTCCAGCCTCCCCTAGATCATCATGACTGATTGAGCTAAATTTGTATTGATCGTACATGACGATCCGTCAATCATCCTGGATGATATTTATCGATTAATTGCAATTTAGGGCAAATTTAAAGCACTTCTTTATTAGATCTCATGTTTACTCAAAAAGTAATATTTTTCTACTGTCCTGACCTGAGAGAGCTAAAAGGAGAGGGAGAGCTTAGGAGACAGAGATAAAGAGGATATTGTGAAGGGGAGTTTGTGAGGGTTTCACAAAGATTGCTCCAAGCAATGATCTGCGTCATCTTCTTCGGTCATCATCCCTGGTTCCTTGGAGATTCTAGAGAGGTCTACTTCAGCAATTGATCGAGGTACTTTGCCTTCTTTAGGAGGAAGCAAAAGGAGTTGGGTTCTCTGCCTACTTCAGGTGGAAGTAAAAGGAGTTGGGTTCTCTGCCTCACTAGGGTCGATGGAAAGGATTTTTTGTACCGGCTTCTCCGCCTTGCTGTGGGAGCAAAAGGAGAGTCACTAAGTTTAGTGCAATACCCGGAAGAAATGCTCCGGGGAGTGGACGTATGTCAAGTTGACATAACCACTATAAAATCTAGTGTGTTCTTTCTTATTATATTTCCGCATTTAATTTTCACAATTTATTTTCTGGTGAATGTTGGCTTGGTTTAAGATCGTGAATTTTATTTGAGAATTTTTAAAACACCAACACATCCCCCTTCCCCCTGTCTATATCATACCCTTTCATAAAAATTCATTGAGTCATATTCAGAAGACTTTTCATGGAGTGATATTGTCCTCACTATTAAAAGTAGGGGGACCAATATGCATAGTATTGAAATATATATATATATATATATATATATTGTAGTGGTTTTCACTGGAATAATCTCGAAGTACCACCGTTAGACCACTGGCTGACCACCATTATCTGAATATCACAGTTCGATCGTTGCCCGATATATTAAAATTTAAAAAAAAAACAATAATAATAAAATTGAAATAAATAGTTTTCCTTAAGGAGATTTGTCGTGCGCCTCAAGAGGTAGACCCCACAAAAAATAAAAATAAAAAAACAACAACAATATCAAGCTTGTATCATACTATGTGAGGTCAGCTAATTTTTAAACTAAATTATAAGAATATCATCAACAAAAAGCATGCACCCAGGAACATCCTCTTATAATTATATAGTAAGAACATTTATGACTAAAGCAAAAAGATATGGGCTTAAAGCTAATTCTTGATGTAATCTAATTGAAATAGGAAAATATTTGGTCAAACCACCTTTTGTTTGAACATAAGTAACAACTCCTACATATATATCTTTAATGACTTGAACATAAGCATTATTAATTCCTTTCTTTTCTAGAACTCTCCAAAGCACATCTTTTGAAACTTTATCATATGCTAAATCAATAAATATCATATGTGGATTGTATTTATTCTTTCTATACTTCTCCATTAAACCTCTCAATAAATGTCATAATAGACCTACCCAATATGAATCCAAACTGATTTTGAGAAACCTTAATAGTACAGCATAACCTATGCTCAAAAACTCTCTCCCATAGTTTTAAAGTATGAACATTAATTTAATTCCTCTATAATTCATACGTGTTAATCTTTCTTTTGTGCAAATCCTCTTTGTGGACCTCCGAAAGGATGTAGCTCAGCTGCAGAGTGCAGAGGGCATACGATCGCATCACCCCGAGGGATAAAGACGATCGTGGTCCTCGGCGCTCCTCACAAACTGGCCAATGGAAGGGCAGATTACACCATACATACGATTAACCATGAAGGATAGCGGCTCTCACCTATGCACCTCGATGGGTAATGATATGCATGGCCCGATCACAATCACGAGATTTTCCCTACTCAATACATTAGCTTGAGTAGGCTTTATTTGACGTGGGATTCAGTTTCCTACAGGCGCAAGCCCCCATGATTAATTACATCTTAGATCGGAGCCTAAGAAGACCGTCGATTAAAGATCCTATATTATCCTTTCGAATGGAATTGATACAAGAGTGGAGACTATAAAGTTCTTGATCAAGGGGAAGAAAAGTCTAATTGGCTTAATCAATACAGTGGTTCATACCAGCAATCGGAGGGCCTAAGGCACTAAGGAGAAACTGGAGGAAAGAAAGTCAAGCACTCCATGCATACATGAGAGAAATATAGAAGTGGTATCATCCATGTAACGCGGATAGGTAGAATTTATAGTCCCTAAAAAATAGGAAACTTACCCATCAATGAGATGTACTACGAGATCGAATATAGTAGTCTTGAATCTTAAATCTAAATTGGGTTTAGTGTTCTATGCATAACACTAACACCCGTATCCTAACTAATTTAGTGTAAAACCTGAACTTACCCCAGTCTGGATTTGGGAGCCAGCTAACCATATAAGCGCTTTAAATCCATGCTATCCAGTTTTTATAAAAGATGGGTAGGTAGTTTAGTTTTTTAGAAGTATGGCCGACGTCTAGAGAGTTTTCTAATTGGACCTAGACTTATGTAGGGTGAATGCTCCTAGATCTAATGCAATTAAATTTTGATTTAATGAGTTTCTAATGAAATGCATGCTGGTTGAAAAGTCTAAATCAAATATGCTTGAGATTTTAAAAATAGGCTTATATAAAATAATTTTTAGAAAAGACTGAGCCTCCCCAGGTCCGACACTTCATTCTCATAGGCCAAATTATTCGGACTCTACCCACAGGCGGAGAGGTTTCTTATTAGAATGAGAGAGAAGAATGCAACATTATGCATACAACCCTAGACGATTCCGGCTATTCTCTAGATCATTATATTTCTATGTTATTTAATTCTTAAAA